TACGAGGAAGAGGTAGTCATTCTTCACGACCACCAAACAAGGGAAATTACTGTGGTAACACTTTTGATCCTAATTTCAGAAATTGAAAGAAGCAAACTTTGGTCGAAAATTCTGCTCAAGGTCAGCAACGTTCAACCTGTCAACTTTGTGGCAAATATGGTCATGATGCCAAGAGATATTGGAACTACATTGTAACTCAAAATCAACAAGAGCGTCAAACAACAAATATGGTTCAAAAAGCCTCGAAGATAGTGGAGCCACTACACATGTGACCAACGACATAGCGACCTTGGATGTCTACGACGATTACGGAGGCAACTTATGAGCTAATCATGGCAAATGGTAAAGGAATTCCCATCTAAAAAATAGGTTCCACCAAAATTCTTTCATCTCCATAAATTTTACATCTTTCTATTATTCTTCATGTTCCTAATTTACATAACAATTTGATATAAGTTTTTAAATTATGTCAAACTAATGATGTTTCTGTTGAATTTTGTGCAAATGGCGTATTGGTGAAGGATTTGGTCACGGGGGCAACGCTGGCAAAGGGAACTATCAATAGTGATCTCTACTATTTGGATAGTGACAATTCATCTAAAAAACACCAAGTTTTTCCTTTAAATTTAAATTCTAATGCATGACATAGTAGACTAGGACATCCTAAAACGTTAAACTTTGTTTTAGAAAAATTTAGTTCAAATAAAAAAGGCTCAATTAGTGATTGTAATGCTTGTCATCTAATAAGTCTTAAATTACTTTTTTCTGACTTTACTTTATCTAGCTCAAAATCGTTTGAATTTATTTTTAGTTACATCTGAGGAGCCCAAAATCAATTCCCTTAATAATCATCACTATTATATAATTTTTGTAGACCATTTCTCTCGTTTTACATGACTTTATCCACTAAAACATAAATATAAGGTTCAAACAATTATTTCAATATTTAAGACTGAAATTAAAAATCTTATAGAAATAAAATTGTTACTATTTTTATTGACAACGGGGTGGATATATAAGATTTACAAAGTTTTTTAACGAACATGAGATTACACACTTAACGAGCCCACCTTGCACCCTAGAACATAATGGGATTTCAGAGGGAAAACACATGCATATAGTCAAGACATGTTTAACCTCACTACATGATGCTCATATGTCTGATAATTTCTGAATTTTTACCTTTGAAACAACAGTCTACTTAACTAGCTAATAGGATGACCACATTTGTTTTACAAAATAAAACTCCATTTGAACTAATGTTCCAACAAGAAACAAATTACAAAAAATTAAAAATCTTTGGTTGTTTATGCTATCCTTGGACTAAACCTTTTCAAAACGGAAAATTCAAAGCCAAATCTAGACCATGTGTTTTTATAGGATACTCACCCAGACAAAGTGCATACAAGTGCTTTGATCCTATTAACAACAAATTGATTTTCTCGCGACATGTTAAGTTTGATGAAAATTGTTTTTTGGTTTAAAGAAAAATTCTTTTATACTCAAGTGACTACAATTGAAAGAAGGAGAAGTTGTTCAATTAATTATTGTAGTCTGTGCTAACCCTAAAAATAAAATCATCACATGTATGTCCATTGGCTCAAGTCAATCACAAACATATATACTCCCTGAAGCTCACCCTCCTAATCAGTCTACATCACCACCTCTTGAAACTATACCTTCTCCCAACCACGACCTACAACTGATACACCTCCATCAAGACCAATCTCACACGTGATTCGTCTACATCCACATTCGATTCTATCCCAAACTCAAACATCCACCCAATAAAAATAAGATAAAAAACATGAGTTGTAAAATCCAACCCAAAATATTTTTTACCACCCAACTAGACCTCAAATTGAATCTAGGTGTGCAACTGAAGCTATGAAGATGGTCAAATGGAGAGAAGCTATGACCAAAGAATTCAATGCCTTAATTTCCAAATGACATGTGGACCCTCGCCCCCCAGATCCAAACACAATATTGTAGGCAATAAATAAGTGTTTCGAATCAAAAAAAATATTGATGGTTCAATAGAGAGATTCAAATCAAGATTATTTGCTAAGGGGTTTCATCAACGTCCGAGAATTGACTTTAAGGATACGTACTATCCAGTTATTAAATCGTCTATAATACGAACAATTCTAGCAATTGCGGTCTCTAATAAATGGACACTCACTCACCTTGATGTCAACAATGCCTTCCTCCGAGGGCGTCTTGAAGAGGGTTAATTGACAAAGACAAAAGATATTATTTGTGCAAATTGAAAAAAGATGATCTATGGGCTAAAACAAGCTCCTAGGGTTTGGTACAAAGAACTCAGCAAGTTTGTCATTGATTATGGCTTCCAAAACACTTCGGCTGATGCATCCTTTTTGTGTAGACTCAAAGACGTAATATAACTTAATTCTTAGTTTAGAATAACAAGGATGCAACTCAACAATTTGTTTAAGAATTATCGGAAAAGTTTTCCCTAAAAGATCTTGGAAGCATAAGTTACTCCTTGGGAATAGAAGTAATACAAACTAATACCAATCTCCTTCTTCAACGCAAATATATACTTGACATACTGAGCGCCACCCGTCTTCCACTCAAGAATGAAACACTTAGCTATAGACTATCACTTTGTACGGAAAATAAGTACAAGAGAATGAGTTGAAGGTTTAATATGTTTCTCTATAGAAAAATATGCGGATGGACTTACGAAACCTCTGTCTAGGCAACGGTTCGAGCATCTACGGAAGAAGAATGACGTCCTTGATGGAAGCTCATTCTTGCGGGGCATGTTAAGAGGAAGTCTATAGTCGAAACTTAATGCTCAAGGTCAACCGAAAGTTACTGCTTCAAAATCTCCTAATTATAAGCAATTACTATTAGTTCTCTAATTATAATTGATTGTAATTTAATTATTATTAATTCTCTAATTGTAATCGATTGTAATTTGACTATCGTCTTACATATAAGGTGTATATAAACATATCCTTGTGAATAATAAAAATAGTCCTTTTACACCATCTCTAAGTGTTATTGGTAGGTTGATAGATCCTTCAACTTTTATTGGTTGGTTGACAATTCCCCTTGGAGTTCTCTCTTTCTCTGCATTTTGTCTTCTCACTTGCTGCTACGTTATTTTTTGCAAGAATTTTGTCTAATAGACTCTTTCATAAAGCATCTTTTATTGTATCCTTTAGGAACACAAAATTGTTTATTGCATGGCCTTTCTCTCATAAAATTTACATATATGAGTGGAATTTTTTCGTTGGCCATGCCTCATCAATGGAGAATGTTGGCTTGATCCAACAAAGGATTTTAGATAAGGAATCCCTTGGGGTAAAAGGTTATGCTTCACAAAATTAAACAAAAATAAATTCAACTCTAAAAGGATACCGTAAATATTTTCAAATACATCTAAGAATTTTAAGGAAGATAAAAGTTAAAAAAGAATACCTTGAACCATTTTGTAATATTCAAGTAATATCAAGTCCCACATCTTTGACATGTTATAAGCAAAATTAAAGGGTGGTGTATAAGATGAGAGTATATCACAACTTTTTAACATACTTACCTGGACGGGGTCAATGAGTGATCAAGAAGACTCATGGCCTGGGGCAGTGACATTCATTGCACTTGGGAGGGGTGCTGCTCTAAGGTCTCCCCAAGTGGGAGAGCCTACGTCATAATTTGTGGTAGAGGGGATTTGCGTGCGCGCAGTCCCTGCTAATCTTTAGTTATAATATTTCTTATATGTAACCATCTTTGTCTTCTAGGTAAAAGAACCCCTCACGTAAATCATTCTTTGATCTCAAGTACATAATTCATAGCATACATGAGATTGTCTCTTTTGTGCTAAAGGAAACAGAGGTAAGAGCCTATGGAAAGAGATCCTGTTCGAAGTAAGGTCCTATATAAATGTTCGATCAGATGCTCGTTCGGTGTGGACATTGTCATTGCTGAACATAAATCGACATATGTAATTATGTAGACTATGTTTAGGTTTCAAATCACGGTCCGAAAACGTGATTTCGTCCGTGAAATAGCGGTTTCACCGCCGTCCGAGTTACCCGCTACACCCGCAATAGCTCCCAATAGCGCCCGCGACGGCCACAATCACGGTAAACCCGACATGACCGAAAACATGACTGCCACCGCGATTTGAAACCCTGATGTTTAGTGACAGTTAGATTATTTTAATGAAAGAGGTAGTTAAACTTAAAACAGAACTAAAATGACGATCTCAATTCTTTTGGTCAGTTCTTTTTATGCAGGGGTTGTAAAGATGAACTAAAAGGTGCTGTTGAATGAAATGGGAGGTGGTGCGATGGCTTTAACTGATAATGTCACTTTGATAGATCACGAAAGAGATGGGCATGATAACCGTTTGGATGTGTTCAACTTCGAAAGCATTGCTGCTGCTACAAACTGTTTTTCAGTAGAAAACAAGTTGGGAGACGACGGCTTTGGTAAGGTTTATAAGGTAGTAAATGATGTCTAGAAACCGAACTTAATGCCATCTCTATTGCAGACATTGATGGATTGAGTGGGGCTGGCCGAGGCGGTCGTTCTCATAATCGACGGTCACTCATGTAAACAACTCTTCTGTTGAAGAGTTTGGAGCATTGCAATTGTAGCAGTTACACAGGTGTTCTAATTTTATAATCTGCCCAAATTACAACTATATACATGTTACTTTTTGTCAATTGTACAACTCTTTTATTTCTAATCATTCAAGTAGTTTATTACTATTACTATTTCTATCCAGTGAATTTTAATTTGGAAAAAAACCACAATTCTCTCATTGGTCACACTCAAGATCAAACTCAACATAGAGTAGAAAAACAAAAAGGGCAGGTTCCTCTAAACAGTAAAAACGCTACCTTTACAGCAATCTCGAGTCATAGACACATTGTGAATTAATAGGAGATTCCACATCGGTTGGAGAATAAATTGACAAGTCTTGGATGTATCATAAAATGGAGCTAACAAGGATTGTAAAAGGCCTCTTTGTGCTTGGGGCAATGATGCAGCTAGTGAGGTAATAACCAAGGAGCGTTTATTGCTGGCTGGTTGAAAACTATTTCCAAACCCCCTCTCTGGCCTTGGTTCACCCTTGGCCTTTGAGAATTTCTGGAAGGACTCCCTTCTGGGTAAAGTCCAATATCGATCTTTGGTTTGGTTTGAGTTGAGATAAAAAAAATCGATGAATATTTTTAATGAGATCCTACTCTTTCCTTTAAAAAAAATCTCTCTTATTTTTGTATCACTCTCCTTTTCGTCTTCAACAAGATCGAAAAATCTAAAATATCAACAGCAATAAGATCGACAAATCTAAAATATCGACAAGATCGACAATCTAAAGTATCAATGGAGGAATGATCATTAATGTCAATCGAAAAGGAATCTTGTCAGAAGTAGAGCTATTAATCTCAGCCCCTGATAATAGATTGACGAATTCCTATAAAAAAGAAGACAACACAACTGGAAAAAACAATATTATAATTAGTTAAATATGTTCCCTCTTTTTTTCACTTTTTGTCCAACTATAAGATTTTACCTCATCTTTCTTTTTTTCTCACTAGTGTTGTGTCATTAATACGATTTTCACTCTCGACCTCTTAGTTCTCACTCACTTCATATCTCTCTTAATTTTTTTTAATGTCATCGAAGTATAATTTATTTGGAAGAGAAAGTGTTTCGAAGGATTTTAGTGAACAATTTTCTTTTTGCATCACACAATACTATTTCATCTTGTTTCTCACTAGGAAAAAAAAGTTGTGCTTAGCAGGTGATTCTTTTCTAATATCCAGTTTATTATCAATACTAGAAAAAGAATTGGAATGAAGAATTGAATCACACTTACACGCACCTATTTGTCCTCGTAAGGTGTTGTCAACTCTTATGCATTTTTCTTAGCATTTTGCATCTTTTGTTTCTCACTTCTCTTGGTTGCCATTCTCAATTGGTCATTGTATACATTTTTAGGGGTAAGGAGGTAAAAGTGAATGTCCTTCTATATGAGTTTCTAAGCAATAATGTCGAGACAATTTGAATTGAATTCGAGCTAGATGAGTTTCGAATCAAATATACACGTGAGAGACTAATTTGAATTTATTGAATTGAGGAGACGGATTTTGAATTTATGCAAAGAAATCCAAAGATTGTCTGTGTTTTACACCGATGAAAACAGTCCATTAAACAATGTGTAACAAGACTTTCAATTTCTATAATGAACTTCTACGTCTATTTTGTATAGAACAATCTATGGATATCTAAAGATGGAGGAGAACATAATAGAACATTGTTTTCTTTTTTATGCCTTGTTGCTTTTGGTATGTTATTTGAAGAAAAAAGAAACTCACTCTTATTTTTAGGGGATAATCCTTCACAAAAATGGCCTTGAACCATTTCATAATATTCAATTAATTTTAAGTCCCACATCTCTGACATGCCATAAACAAAATTCAAGGGGATGTATAAGATAAGAATATATGCCAATATTTAAACATCCTTACCTGGATGGGGTCAATGTGCGATCAAAAAGACTCATGGCCTAGGACAGTGACTTCCATTGCACTTGGGAGGGGTGTTGCTCTAAGGTCTCCCCAAAATATATATTATTTAAAAGTGTTAATTGATTGAGTACTTGTTTCGACTGCACATTTGCAATATTTAAAGTTAGTGTGATGTTAATAACATAGAAAGTTTTGTACATTAAAAATTGTATGGCTTTACCCCGATTGGAGTTCTCCTAGAAATTCTCAAAGGCCAAGGGTGAACCAAGGCCAGAGAGGGGGTTTGGAAATAGTTTTCAACCAGCAATAGACGCGCCTCGGTTATTACCTCACTAGCTGCATCATTGCCCCATTTTACAATGCTTGTTGGCTCCATTTTATGATACATCCAAGACTTGTCAATTTATTCTCCAACCGATGTGGAATCTCCTATTAATTCACAATGTATCTATGACTCGAGATTGCTGTAAAGGTAGCGTTTTTACTGTTTAGAGGAACCTGCCTTTTTTGTTTTTCTACTCCATGTTGAGTTTGATCCTGAGTTGACCAATGAGAAAATTTTGGGTTTTTTTTTTCAAATTAAAATTCACTGGATAGAAATAGTAATAGTAATAAACGCTTGAATGATTAGGAAGAAAAGAGTTGTACAACTGACAAAAAGTAAGTAACATGAACATGGTTGTAATTTGGACTGATAATAAAATAACACTTGTGCAATGGCTGCAATTGCAATGCTCCACGCTCTTCTGTGAAGAGTTGTTTTCATGAGCGAATTGACCGTCAATTATGAGGAGATTTGCGTTCGCGCAATGCTCCACGCTTTCGAAGTTGAACACGTCCAAACAGTTATCATGTCCATCTCTTTTGTGATCTATCAAAGTGTCATTATCAGTTAAAGCTATCACACCACCTCCGATTTCATTCAACATCACCTTTTAGTTCATTTTTACAAGCCCTGCATAAAAAGAACTGACCGAAAGAATTAATATCGTCATTTTAGTTCTGTTTTAAGTTTTAACTACCTCTTCTTTTAGTTCTGTTTTGTGTAGACTGTAATTAATATGATTGGGGTTGAAGCGCTCCCTTTGGGGTAAATAATTCTACTCCTTAAATATGTTGAGACCATCTAAACCATTAAAACAATCTCACTGTCATCAAACACAGTCTACATAATTACATATACCGATTCATGTTTGGAAAATAACAATGCCCATAAGCATCCGATCGAACATTTATATAGGAGAGAGCACATAGGAGACAGAATCTCTTTTCATAGGCTCATACCACTTATTCCTTTAGCACAAAGGAGACAAAATCCCACGTCTAGTTGATTACTTATGTACTTGTGATCAAAGCGTGAATAATTTTAGGGGTTTCTTTTCCCTAGAAGACGAAGATGGTATATATAAGAAATATAATAACTGAAGATTAGTAGGGACTGCGCGAACGCAAATCCCCTCTGCCACAAATTATGACGTAGGCTCTCCCACTTGGGGAGACCTTAGAGCAACACCCCTCCCAAGTGCAATGGAGGTTACTGCCCTAGGCAATGAGTCTATTTGATCACCCATTAACCCCGTCCAGGTAAGTATGTTTTAAAGTTGTCATATACTCTCGTCTTATATATCACCCTTTAGTTTTGCCTATGGCACACCAAAGATGTGGGACTTAAAATTACTTAAAAATTACAAAATGGTTCAAGGACTTTTTTTTTAACTTTCATCTTCCTCAAAGATTCTTAGAATTATTTAAAAACATTTATGATATCCCTTGCAAGTTGAATTTATTTTTGTTTAATTTTGTGTACCATAAGCTATTTACCCAAAGGGATTCCTTAATCCTTATCTAAAATCCTTTGTTAGATCAAGCGTATGTACATTCTACAACATTCTCCATTGATGAAGCAGACCATCGACAAAACTCCATTCATATCTGTAAATTTTGAAAGAAAGGCCACACACTAAACAATTGTGTAAACATAAAGGATACAATAAAAGATGCTTCATGAACGAGTCTATTTTACAAACACTGGCTAAGCCAATATAGACTTAGGGGTGTCAACACCCTAAAACTTTTTTTTTTTAAAATTTCTTTTATAAATTATATATATATAATAAAATTAAAGAAGTGACATTATTTAAAAATAATAATTGACATCTTTTAAAAATTGATCCCACATTTTAAATATATTTAACAATAAAAAATTTAATAGGTATGTAAACGAATCGAGCGCTCAACGAACTATTTGTAAATTAATTGTCGGGAAGTTCATTTATGTTCGTTTATTTATTAAATGAACGAACATGAACAATATTTTATGTTCGTAACACGAATAGGGCTTGTTCATTCATTTACGCTCATGAACGTTTAATAATCCGTTCATTTATGTTCGTTCGTTTATATTCAATCCAATCTCCAGGCCCGTTTGAAATATTAATGCCTAATAAATTTTAAACTTAAACCCATTAATATTTTAAAATCCAATTAATTATAAACTCAAATAGAAAGTACACAAATCACTTAAAGAAAATATAAATCCTAAAATTATTTGGAAAGAAAAAAAATTCTCAAATATAAACCCAATTAATTTTATGTTTGTTTGTTTATGTTCATTTACGTTTCTTTGTATTAGTTTACATTCGTTCATGTGTGTTCGCTTTGTTCGTTTGTGTTTGTTTATCATTTTAACAAATGAACACGAATAAGCTACATTTCTTAATGAATGAACAAGAAATTTCGTTCGTTTAGTTGTTCATGTTCGTTCATTTATTCAATTAAAATTAAACGAACGAACAATAATATACCCTCATTCATGTTCATTTGATTCTTTTATAGGCCTAAAATTTAATACTCAAATTCTCAGTCAAATTTTTTTTCATATAATTCCTAAATTTGACACCCAAAATAAATCGTCTAGCTCCGCCCTCTTGAAAAATTCTTGAAATAAACTTAGCAACAAGTGAGAAGACAAAATGCAGAGAAAGAGAGACCTCCTAAGAGAATTGTTAATGTGATAATAAGAAAAGTGGTTATCAAACCTTCCAAGTATAAATTATATGAAAAGTGAGAAACCTTCCAAGTGTATTATGAATGGGGACATCAATAAGCAAGGTAGGTACAATATATTATCAACTGTCTATTCATTTAACCACTGAGACGATTTGATCCGTACGGTGATTAAAATGTTAGTTTTGAATATAAGTATTTTTTAAAAGTTTTAGATAAAGGGTATATCTTTGCATGGTATGTGAGAAACATGCCCGATATTGATTAATGGGTAATCATGTCTTCTCTCAATGTAACTTCCTTTGCCAAGCTTGTCAAACACAAAAAGAGAAGACGTCATCAAGTTAAAAGAGTCAACGAAAGAGTGACCATTTTGTGATATATCAATAATATTAGTGATCATAACATAACTATTAAAATTTTAGTGATCAAAGTAAAACACATTGAAACTTTAATGATCATGAGTGTGATTTACTCTTCTTTATTTCCACAGCTTTACTTAGATTTTGGGTGATTGATTTAACCTGTCTCCTCGTTTCCTCCTATTTTTTCCCCCTTGTCGACAAAACATATTTTCACCGTACTACTGCCTTCAAGTTCAACGACTATGGTTCACTAATTTTACTTGCAGCCTTAAAGTTTTTATTTTAGATTTTTTCCTAATTATTAATATATTTTTTATTTTAATCACTTAACTATAAAAAATTCTAAAATGGTCATCTACATTTTGATTACTTTATCAGTTTTACCCCAACTATTAACTCAATAACGAAAAGATAACTTATTTTAATGCGATCACCCAATTATTAACTATGAGATTCTTAAAAAAAAGGTTTGGTTTGGGTTGGGTGTTGGTAGTTGTTGAATGTGAAAAAGAATTGTTTCAAAATGAGTTTTAGTTTATGTGATATAAGGTTTATTTTTTGAGTATGAAGAGACGTAAGCCAAAGAATGAAGATACAACAGTCGATGGTCAAAAATGTCGATTACATCTTTATATATAAAACTACAAACTATGTTAGGAGTGATATCGTAAAAGATCATATGGAAATTTGAAGGAGTCATTATCTTGACTATAACATCAATCACCATATGAGCTTTTCGATGAATCAATTTGATCTTTTTAATTTCATTATTTGCATGACGTCATTCAGATCAACAACAAAAAGCTATGAACAACGCACGAATCGGTGAATAATTTTACAATTTGTGCACAATCAGTTTGAACCTAAAGTCCTAACAAAAAAAAGTTCACTAAGGAATTGAAAATGAACTATTTTAAAAACAATTCTTTTACCAAATAAAAACAATTCAAAAAGTACAAGGGCTAATCTGAAAATTTTACCCCTATAAATTCAAACTTTTTTCCCGTTTTGTACCCTTAAACGATGCCACCAATTCAAATAAAGCAATCACGGTATTCATAAGAAAAAGCCCATTAAGTCCATTTATAAGGAAAATAAATCAGAAACCCAAATAAATGCACAACCCTAAAGAATTCAAAAGAGTCTGCTTTGGGTAGAACTTTCTAGAAACCAGAATCTCCTAGACATCTCTAGTCGTGGTTGGTCCACGAGTGAACTCGCTCAAAAACTTTATAAAATAGTAGGGAAATAAAACCTCAAATGAACTCATTTTAATTATTTAGAAAAAAAATCGAAAATTCCACACCAACCCTCATTAATAAAGCGCCCCTCAACTCGCTTTTTGGCTTCGTGAGGCTCTCTCTCTCGAACGCATAAGAAATATTGACAGGAATTCTTTGGGCTCTAATCTCACCTTTGAAGGTACGATCGCCGGCCTTTGCAATTTGCAGTTATGTAGATCTCGTTAATTGTTGTTGTTCTTGCATTTACCTTTTCATTCAGTAACTTATAGGTCTGTCTAGTTCTAGATCTGGCGCGTAAAATGGCATTGATATTTGTTTGTCTTCAGATTTAGCTGTTTCTAGAGAATCAGTTAGTTTCTTATTTGATTTCTATTTTTTTCTTCTTCAGATTCAACAACTTTTGTCGTTGGGAATTCTTTGACTTTTAAAGTAGTTATTTTAGGTTGATTTGAACGCGATTTATGGTTTTTCATTGCAAGCAGTTTTCATTTCTGATTAATTTTAGTTGAACGAGTTCTCATTTTGGGTTGATGTGTAATTGTTAAAGTTTTAGGGTTTGTTTACAATTATTTGGCTTTTGTATGTGCATTACTTTTATTATTTACTTATTTGTTTGGTTTTTTATACTTAAGTGTTGTAGTTGTAACTTGTAAAAGTATTTGATCTCCGCTTGCTTGTAGTTAGCACTTAGCTCTAAGCCTTATTTGGTTTGTCTCCTTGTGTGAATGATCAACTCCATGAGTCTTAAA